ACCCAAATGGAATCGGGTTTCTTTTATTTTTTATCTTATTTTTTGAGACAGGGTCTTGCTCTGTCACCCAGGCTGGAATGCAGTGACATGATCATAGCTCATTGCAGCCTCGACCTCCTGGGCTCAAGCAATTCTCCCACCTCAGCCTCCTGAGTAGGTGGGACTACAGGTGTGCACCACCAAGCCTGGCTAATTTTTTTTTTTTGGTAGAGATGGGATCTCACTACGTTGCCCAGGCTGGTCTCCATCTCCTGGCTTCAAGTGATTCTCTCACCTCGGCCTCCCAAAGTGCTGGGAACACAGGCATGAGCCACCATGCTTGGCCAGAATCGAGGTTTTTTAAAATGCAGTCTTGACCTATCACGGAGGCCCTGGTTAGGGGCCGGCCCCTTCCTGAGCAGCTGATTGGTCCACACAGCCACCCTGCCCTATTCAGATGGCCCCACTCGGGGGCCACTCCCCACCAGCCCTCATTGCCCCAAGGCCAGGTACCAGACAATCAGGGACAGCTCCTATGCCCTGGGGTCCGCTACCCTTTCCGCTCCCTCCCCTGAGCTCCGCGGGCTGTTGTCCTGTCCCGGGCGCAAGCCACCCCGTGTGGCCCTGCCCGGCAGCCGCCCTCTCCTGGGGAGAAGCAGGTCAGTAAGAGTCTGCCTCTCCTCGTTCCCAGCGCCACTGCGAGGTTGCGCCATCGAAAGAAACTTTAAATCCTACAAACCGCCAGGGTCAGGAAAGGCGCCTGCGCAAGGTGGGACCTCCGGTGGCTGCCCCCAAGCTGGGAACTTCCTGTCCCAAACCTACCCAGGCACAGAGAGGGACAGCGTGGAGCCAGGCCCTGGCGGCAGTGCTGGTGTGGTTCCCCGGAGGACAGGAATGGCTTCCCCGGTGAGCTCAAGCCTGAGCCACACCCTGCCTTGAGCTGCTGTCCCCTCTTCCCACGTCCAGCCTCACGGACTCAGCGTCAGTGCTGAGGGCCCTGGTGGCCCTGCCCAGTCCCCCTCTGGGGTGGCAGCTACGCTTGGTCCCAGGCCTTCTGGTCTTACTTGTGCAGGATCGAGGAGCAGAGCCCTGCCCCCACCCACCCCTAGAGCCTGAGCTCCGTGGGCGGCTGACCTGCAGGAAGCAGCCCCCCCGAACCTTCAGGCCGAGTCGCCAGCACACACCCCCCTGCCAGACCCCTCCAGGCCCCTCGCACTGTTGGCCTGTGGCACCCACCATGGAGAACAGGGCCTAGGCTGGTCCCCTGTCCTTCCTCCCGCTTCCCACCCCCTCCCTGCACCCAAAGGAGCAGCCAGCCAGCACCCCCCACCTCGAGAAACCCCACAGACAGGCGGAGTCACTGGGAACTGCTGAAGCTCTTTATGGAGAACCAGGAGAGGGGGCGCAGGGCGAGGGGAAGGTGGAGGGTGGTAGGAAGGGGTGTGGCCGGCCGGGTTCTGCAGGGGTGGGGAGCTTTTCTGTGTCCCTGTGAACGACGGAGGTGCTGGGTGGTGCTGCCCTTGGGCTGCTGAGGAGCCAAGGTGCCCCTGCCCTAGAAAAAAGGGGGAGGGTGAGTGAGGCCGCGACAGGGAGAGGGTGGGACAGGGATGTGATGTGGGGGCACATGTGGGCTCTTGGGTGCTGCAGTGTGGGGGCACATGTGGGCACTCAGGGGCATGGTGTGGGGGCACATGTGGGCTCTCGGGGACTACGCTGGGGGCACACACTGGGCTCTTGAGGGCTATGGTGGAAGGCACATGCGGGCTCTCGGGGGCGATGGTGTAGGGGGCACGTGCTGGATCTCAGGGGCACACATGGGCTCTTGGGGGCTGCAGGTGGGGGCTCCAGCCTCCAGATTGGAGCAGATGGAGCAGGGACCACCCCCGCAGGCTGCTGACAGAGCTCCCTGCTGAGTGAAGAGGCATCAGGGTGACTGCAGGTCAAGGGGAGGGTGCGGGAAGGACAGCGATGCTGTCTGGGATTCTGGCTCTGCCCACACCCTGGGCGACTCTCGAAACTCTGGTCCCCTCGTGCAGCCAGCAAGGGGTCAACCTGACACAGCGAGCACAGGCACGCCTGCCGCTTTGCTGAATCTTTGAGCAACTCATCAGGTAAGCGAGGTCACAAGGACGGCTGAGGGTGAGCGGTGCTGAGGAGGAACCTGAATCTCCTGCCTGCTCCCGCCCACGGGGTGAGGGGGTAGACACCGTCTCCACCAGCAGCCAGCAAAGGCGGGCTCAGCGCTGTGGGCTTCTCAGCTTCCCAGGAGTCACTCCCAGGGCAAGAGCGGAGGCTGGTGCCCGAGTGCGGGCAGCTCAGGAGAAGATCTCCCACCTGCCTGGCCTAGGTGGGGCGTCTCCCACCCAGGTAGAAGTGTGGTGGGTGGGAGAGACCCCAGGGCCTCTCGAAGTGCCACTGAGCCCAAGGCTGGATTTTCTCAAATGTCCTCTAAAGCTGTTCACTCACCCTAATCGCTCCCTGGAGAGCAGGTTTCTGCAGGAAAAGGAAGCACAGGCGAGTCAGGAGACCCCAGGAATGCAGTCAGGACCGGGGCCCCTCCTCAGCCACCAGCTCCACCACCCCAGGAAGGACAAAGCCAGAATTAGACGCAGCACAGTTACACGCCCATGCAACGCGGCTCTGCTGACGTCCCCACGCAGGGACACGGGGGGCTCTGCAGGGCCGTGCCTCCTACCGCTCTGCCTGGGTATGAGGATGCTCTCCGTGCTAAGTCCGCGGGCTCCCACGGCCTTCTCAAAGTCCTCCAAGGCTTCCAGGTTGTTCTCGGGGTCTCTGCCTGTGGGTGCAAGGGCGAGATGTGGGTGGTTGAGGCAGAACTGGGCAGTCGCCAGCACCCCGTCCTGGCCTGGAGGCCTGAGCTGGGCTGGGGAGGGGGACCTCGCCCACCACAGGGGCACTTGAACCCAGAGGCCCTTGGGCTGGCAAAGTGGGACCAGGGTGCCGTACACGGCTGAGAAGGCTCCCGCGGCAGCAGAACTGGGAGAACAGGAAGGGTTCTCCGTCCATCCCCAGGCATCTCCTGGAGTCAGGATGGACGGCAGGACAGGCCCGCCCTGGAGGAAGTGTCTCTCCCCCCGGGGGCACCAGGGCACTGCCTTTCCCATTCCTCTGTCATTCGCACAACCCTGGATCCAGGGCGAACTCAGGAGCCTTCATGGTCCTCGTCCTCAGACAGGGATGGCACTGACACGTCACTGTCTGTGGGAGCCACCGCATCCGGAATTCAACCCTGGGAGCTGGAACATTCTTTCCACACAGACTCCTGCTCACATCCCCGTTCCTCCCCACTGCTGGACATCCCGCAGGAATGCGCTCAAGGATGACGCTGCAGGGAGCTGCCCCGGGGGAGGGCCTGGCCTGCCATGGGACACGTGCGACCTCTGAGCCCCTGTGCCAACAGCCGCGGCTCCTTCCTGCCTTCGCTGCAGAGACCTAGGCTGGGGCATCCGAAATCCTGAGCTCCAGGGGTGGGAATTGGGGCCTTTATCAGGAAAACTCATCCTAAGGAAACTGCAGTGGGTTCCTGGGTCCCAGTGGCTTCTCCCGTGGGGAAGAGGGTGCAGGAGGCCGTGGGAGGAGGGAGGGCGGGTGGAGGCTTGGGTTGCAGGGTGGGGGTGCGGGACTCACCCACGAGCTTCACCCCTCGGATCGGCTTCCCGTGCAGCTCGCCCTCACAGTAAAAGATGTAGTGGTCCTTCACGTGTGACCTGATGATGTATGTCACGTGCTTGCCCCCGTCTGCAGAAGGACAGCAGCACAGTCCTGAATTAGCCACCGGGGCCTTCAGAGAGGATCCCGGGACAGCGTGCAGCACTAGGCCCAGCAAGCCCCGCAGCTCCTGCACCCTCCCAGCCTCCCAGAGCTCTCCGACCCAGGGTCCCGACCAGGCCTGAGCCCCAGGCCATGGGACCCCCACTTCCCAGGAACCTGATGCACCCAAGAGGCGGCCACATCCCAAACCAGTCAGTCACCAGGGGTTCCTCCGGGTATGAGGTCTGCGGAGGTGGGAGTTGGGGTGCAGCACCCCGCAGCCAGATACGACTCTGCTCCTGGCCCTGCCAGAGCCACAGCCGGGCTACAGGGAAAGCCCTGAGGGTCTGCCCCAGAATAAACCCGTCACACCTGGTGTTTGGGGTCAGGTGTTCAAGTCTCTAACGCAAATTGACCAGTGGGAGAGGAGAGTGGGCTTTTAGTGGAGTCAGGGGCAGCAGGCCAAAAGGCCACCCCAAAAAGGCACTGGCTGCCCCCCCAATTCCAGCGTGTGTTCGAGTTCGGGCTCTGGCTCAGGCTGCAGGACTCACTGGCCGTGTATTTTCCCGGCTCGTCAGTTTTCTCCAGGACGACCTTCACCTCCTGGCACTGGCCGCTTATCCTGGAAAACAGAAACCCCCTGGCAAAGTGGCCCTGGCCTGTGCCTCCCCTGGCCCTGGAGCAGCCACGCTGCAATGCCCTGCAAAGGTGGCCCCGAGTCTGCCACAGGCCCATAGAGGAGGGTGCTTCTCTGCATCTCAGACCCAAGCACCAGCGGCCCCTCCGGGTCACACATCGCAGTTCCCGGGGTCTCCCGAGGTGGCCAGGAGCTCTGCACCACTCCTCCTGGTGGCTGCCTTCCCAACCCCTCCACCCCCAACGCATTTCCTGCCAGAGGGACCCGGGCTGCCTGGTTTGCAGGCAGTGTCTGTGGCGTGGGCCTGAGCCTCATCCCGCCAGCTGCATTCTTCCTTTTGGAGACATTCAGGGACAAGCCCCACATCCATCATCTGGCCCAGAGAGGGAAAGGTTCAATTAGGGGCTTTTGGAAAAAAAAAATCAGGGTCATTGCCAGGGTTAATGACTTCCTAAGGGTCAGCCCCCAGGACCGGAGCATAGGCATTGCATGCCACTCAGGAGGGAGCCACTCAGGAGGGAGCCACGTGGGAGGGAACCACTGAGGAGGGAGCCATGCAGGAGGGAGCCACGCCGGAGGGAGCCACACGGGAGGGAGCCACTCAGGAGGGAGCCACACGGGAGGGAGCCACTCAGGAGGGAGCTACGCAGGAGGGAGCCACGCAGGAGGGAGCCACGCAGGAGGGAACCACTCAGGAGGGAGCCACACAGGAGGGAGCCACGCAGGAGGGAGCCACTCAGGAGGGAGCCTCTTAGGAGGGAGACACTCAGGAGGGAGACACTCAGGAGGGAGCCACAGGGGTTAAACCACACAGTTGTGCAGGTGGGAGCCACGCAGGTGAGTCACACAGGTGGAAAGTCAAAGATGTGAGCCATGTGGGTGGAAGCAGCACAGGTGAGAGCTGCACAGGTGAGCTCTATGCAGGGACTTCAAGGGAGTCTTCTCCGTGGCGTCCTTTGCCCCCTCTTGGTCATTCTGCAAGCCCCATCCCTGCCTTCATCTCTGGGGTCTGAGTCCACGGCTGCCTGACAGGTTGCTTGCTGGGGCTGGGAGAGGCTGTGCCACTCCTCCCACAGAAATGTACTGCCAGGACTGCGAGGCTAGTCTGCGGGCCCTGCCTGCTGTCTCTGACTCTGGTTGGGGGTAAACACCTTTACCCAAAGAGACCTGCACATCACCAGACATTCCCTAGTCGGAGGAGGAGGTGGGTGGTACCCCTGGTAGCCCACAAGGTCTGATCCGGGGCCTCTGTCCCCTCAGGCCCCCTCCAGCCAAGGTACCTCAGTGGCACAGTTTGCCCTCAAACATTGCAGGAGGGGCTGAGAGAGGCCTCCCAGCAGGTCTGCCCACCTCCTCAGCACCAGAGCTCTCCTGGGTGGGGAAAGGGAAGGCCCCAGACCAGGTTGCAGGCTGCCCGGCGGCTGGCAGACACTCACAGCATGGTGGCCTTGGCTTCCAGGTTGCCCCCTTCCAGGATCGTGAGAGTCATGGGTGTCACCGATTCCAGATTCACCTCAGGGAGCTCCCTGTCCACTGTCATAGCCTTCAGGTACCATGTCCCTGACACCTGGGGAAAGTTCCTCTCTATCAGGCTCAGGCCGACCACTCCAGAGCCTCCCCTACTCTTCCCTGGCCTGCAGCCCCCAGACTCTACCGCACCCCGAAGGCTGGAGACGGGGAGCATTCCCCAATCTAACTCACCCAGGAAACACCCAGCACCCTCACCAGGCCCACCCGAAGGTGGCTCCAGCCCCTACAAGTCAGCCAGAACCACAGGAGCCCTCACCCCCAGGGGAGAAGTGAAGTCAGCCAGACCCCCACCCTCCCAGTCCTGCCACCTCTGTGCCCCTGCACTCCCTCCCCCACCAGCCCAGACCCCTGCTGCCCCATCTCATCATTCCCTCGGGGCAGGACTTTAACGCCCAACCGAAAAATGAGAGTCTCCTTGGATGGGGGAGGTAGGGGGTCTCCATCCAGTCTCAACCTCGCCCCATGCCCCCTCCAGCCCACCCTTCCCATCCGGGCCTCACATCCTGAATCTCGTCGTCTGAGGCCAGGAGGTGGTGGGCCTGCAGGGCAGCAATGAGGCTGAGGCTGACGGCCAGGAGCAGGGCCTTCATCTCTGGGGTCTGAGTCCGCGGCTGCCTTACAGGTCGTTTGCTGAGGCTGAGAGAGGCTGTGTCACTCCTCCCACAGCCGCCTTTTATACCACTGGACTCAGGGTCCCCCAGGGACCTGGCACAGGTGACTGACCAATCCCTTCCTGGATGCAAACCACGGCCAGTTCTGCAATGGAGCAGATAACATGCCATTGTTGTTAGAGGCTGTTGAATAACAACTTGTTAATCCCAGAGGATCATCCGGACACAGAACCAGGACCAGGTCCAGAGGAGCAGGTTTGCAGATTTCACCTGGAAGGAAACTGAAGGGAGTGAAGGGCATGCAGGCCTCCTGGGGGGGACGTGTGCGGCATCCTCCAGCCATCCCACACGTGCTGACGTGCACATTGCTAAAGGGATTGCGGATTGGAGTCTGAGGGCCATGGGCTTGGGTCTCGGCTGAAATTCCTGCATCTCTAGGCAGGTTACTTGGCCTCAGATTCATCATGGAAAAAGTGGGACCCTCCTGTGTGAACACAGTACCGTGTGCATTTAAAGAGGGTGTCCACACTCCTGAGCACGGTGTGCAATAAGGAACCGCTCTGCCCCACACACAGAGCAGCAATAGGTCAGACAGACAAGACCAAGACAGGTGTGTGTGTGTGTATGCATGTGTGCACATCTATACATGCACACACACACACTCACTCACTCACATGAAACCAGGAATGGAGGAGAAGCACAGGCTGGTGATGGGGCAGAGGCAGGGGCTGTCAGCTCCAAGTCCCAAGGCAGGCAGAGAGGGCCTGGGTCCAGCTCCTGGCAGTGATGGGAGCAGCTTCCCTGACTCCAGAAAGGAGGCTGAGAAACCCTTCCTGACACATCCCAGGGCTGTTACTTCTTATAACTGAGTGGAGCACTGTGGGCATAGGAAAGAAAGAAGACATTGACACAGCCTGGAGAGAAGAAGCTGAGACAAGCCATCGTTGGAAGGGGTGACTTTATCTGTGACATCCTCCGCATCACTGCAGAGCAGAAGCCTGGGACCCGGGGCAGAGTCTATGAAACACTGCTAGACAGAGGACAATGACAACGAGATAGTGGAGAAAGGCAGAAATGCAGAGGCATAATATCCTCGCCTTGAACTGAGCAAGGCCAGGTTTCCAAATTACCCAAGGAAACCCACACTAAGAAAGGCAGGCTAAAAATGAGCAATTGGTACAGGAACTTACACCAGCCAAGGAAAGTCTGACACACACGTTAAGACTGCAGGAGTATGATCAAGATGCCTAGAGATTTAAAAAATATAAAGTGTAAAATTAGAACTGGCCAGAATATAAGAAACAAGGAGAGACGAAATAGAAATAATTACAAATCTTGAAGATGAATAATAAAGTGAATAAAAAACTCAATAGACAGGTTAAATTCCAGACTTGACGTAATAGAAAAGAGACTTAGTGTCATGGAAGATAGTACTAACAATATCAATGAAGACAGAAACATTTGAAGGAGAAATTGAGGTGTTACAGATAGATTCAGTCTCCAGCCTGGAGCCAGGAATAAAATGAGTGGAGGAAACCAATCAGAGTGCAGCAGCTCTGAAAACACAACACACACACAGACACACACACACATACACACATCACACACATGCATACACACATACATGTACACACACACGTACACACACACACACATATGCATGCACATGCACTCCCACACATGCACACACATATATGTGCGCACATACAAATGCACACCCACACCCACACATATGCACACATACATGCACACACGTGCAGGCATAAACATGTGCACACACCATGCATACATACATGCACACATGCACACATGCACACATGACCACACATGCACAAAGTTAACACACATGGAGAATAGATCAAGAGGCTTCAATATAAACAGAATAGGAGTTCTGAAAGAAAAACATTTTCTGAAATGGCAACAAAGCAATGTAATAGCTCAGATTTCTTCAGAATTGAAAAGACATGAGGTCCCAGATCTAAATTACAAACCAAGAGAAATCCACTCCTAGAATATTACAGTGAAGTGCAGATCATCCAGGAGAGGAGAAAAAAGTCAAAATGACCAGAAAGAAGAGCCACAGTACCTACCAAAAATGCAGATGTCAGCTGACAACAGACTTCTCAATAGCAACGCTACCTTCCAGAAGACAATGGAGTAACGTCTTTAACAGACCCAGGGGAAATCACATTTACCTTTGAATATTATTCTCAGCACAACTTTCATAAAATATTGAAGGCAAAATAAGGACATCTTGGACATTAAAAAGCAACTGAGGCCCAGCGAGGTGGCTCATGCCTGTAATACCAACACTTTGGGAGGCCAAGGTGAGGTCAGGAGTTCGAGACCAGGCTGACCAACATGGTAAAACTCCATCTTGACTAAAAATACAAAATTAGCCGGGCATGGTGGCATGTGTCCGTAATCCCAGCTACTCAGGAGGCTAAGGCAGGAGAATCGCTTGAACCTAGGAGGTGGAGGTTGCAGTGAGCCGAGATCATGCCATTGTGCTCCAGCCTGGGCAAGAGAGCAAGACTCCATCTCGAAAAAAATAATAATAAAAATTAAACAACAACAACAACAGCAACTGAGAGTGTATACCACTCACTGGCTTCTATCAAAGGAATTTTGAAAGGGAGAATTTTAGCAAGTCTATAGCAGACCAAGGTCGGGGGATAAATGATGTCAGCAAAGCAAACTAGCTGCTGGCTGTACAAACACGAATGGTGCAGACTTTGATGTGGGGAGGAAGGTTCTGTTTTACTGGATATTTAAAGCGAGCTAAATGCACACAAAACACACTTGTGCCCACACGCATGGGTTCATATGAACCAAAAGATGCATGTTAAGTACAGGAGAATAGTGATGTATGGAGAGAGGGAAGTGGAAAGGGGTGGGCAGGGATAATAAATTTTCAAAATACATAAAGAAGCTTGTTAGACAAAAGTTTTCATCAGTATAGATGAAAAGGGGGCCAACATGAAAACAAAAGCACAATCACAAGAAGATGACTATTCATGAATTTGAAGGCATACTGCATCAAAACGCAAGAAGCCAAAACAGACTGAAGAACAAAGGGGTCAAATCCAGTTGGAACAGGAGACACCAGCACTTCTCCATTAGAAACAGAGGCCGAGGGTTTTAAAAGTTCACACCAATGTCGAAGATTTGGAACCAAAATTGGAAAGTATACAAAGACACTGCCTCAACCTGTCTCTTATACACATCTAGATGTGTATAAGAGACAACTGCCTCAACAGCTAAACAATTATATTGTTATAATTGTTACAGTGAACAATTCTTTTTTTTTTTTTTTTTTTTTTTTTTGAGACAGAGTCTCGCTCTGTCACCCAGGCTGGAGTGCAGTGGCCAGATCTCAGCTCACTGCAAGCTCCGCCTCCCGGGTTCACACCATTCTCCTGCCTCAGCCTCCCGAGTAGCTGGGACTACAGGCACCTGCCACCGCGCCCGGCTAGTTTTTTGTAATTTTTTAGTAGAGACGGGGTTTCACCGTGTTAGCCAGGATGGTCTCGATCGCCTGACCTCGTGATCCGCCCGTCTCGGCCTCTCAAAGTGCTGGGATTACAGGCTTGAGCCACCGCGCCCGGCCACAGTGAACAATTCTTAATTGTTAATTCTTCTTAAGGACACATAGAATAGTTTAGTTTTGTTTTGTTTTGTTTGTTTTTGTTTTTGTTTTTTTGAGACGGAGTCTCTCTCTGTCGCCCGGGCTGGAGTGCATTGGCTGGATCTCAGCTCACTGCAAGCTCCGCCTCCTGGGTTTATGCCATTCTCCTGCCTCAGCCTCCTGAGTAGCTGGGACTACAAGGCGCCCGCCACCTCGCCCGGCTAGCTTTTTTTTTTGTATTTTTTAGAGACGGGGTTTCACCGTATTAGCCAGGATGGTCTCGATCTCCTGACCTCATGATCCGCCCGTCTCGGCCTCCCAAAGTGCTGGGATTACAGGCTTGAGCCACCGAGAATAGTTTTAAAGTAGGCCACATACCAGGCAACTTGGGGAATTTCACAGAACGAACACAGTAGAGCCTGCCCTTTGTAGCTACAAGGCAATAAACGAGAATCCACAATGAACAGAGTGTTACATAAAGAGAAATATAAACTTCAAGTCTACAGCCTTAAACGCATCTATTATACAATAAAGACATCAGGACAGAATTCCTCTCTGTGTGAAAAGTTCTCGGTCATGAACACGCATGAATGCCCTGGCCAGCTCTGTGCTCCTTTGGTGGCCACCTCGCAAAAGAGAATTGATGAGAGGCGCTGCTTACGGGGCAGACACCCGTGGCAGCATCACCACACACACATCCATGACGGTGGCCACGAGTGTCATGCGGCCCCCAACCAATGATGAGAAACGAACCTGAACCTCACGTCAAAGGGAAGGCTGAGTTATCTTTCTATTCTATTTATAGGAAATCTTTTTTTTTTTTTTTTGAGTCAGAGTCTCACTCTGTCACCCAGACTGGAGTGCAGTGGCGCGATCTCGGCTCACTGCAATCTCCGCCTCCCGGGTTCACGCCATCGTCCTGCCTCAACCTCCTGAGTAGCTGGGACTACAGGCGCCCGAATTTTTTTGTATTTTTAGTAGAGACGGGGTTTCACCGTGTTCGCCAGGATGGTCTCGATCTCCTGACCTCGTGATCCACCTGCCTCAGCCTCCCAAAGTGCTGGGATTACAGGCATGAGCCGCCGCACCCGGCCAGGAAATCATTTTCATAGGAAGCAATAATCAAGGGGTAGCAGCCAAGAGATACAGAAAAAATAAGTTTGATAGAGGGATGCCAGGGAGTCACTAATCAAATCTTGTTTGTTTCTTCTATTTGATGATGTTTATTGCACGTATCAGCTTTTTCATGTGTGAGCCTTGTGATTTTTTATCACTTCAAATAAATATTTTATTTTCCTATCTAATTTGGGTTCATATTGCTATTATTATTTAAAGTAATCCCTAAATTTTACGTATATTTTAAGCTCCACAAAATCCATCTACTCCTGGCTATATCTGTGAGTTTAATTTCCTTTTAAAATAATCTGAATATATACCAAGGAGATTTTCTAATGCTGGGCATGGGCGATGGGTGTTTTTATTCTCGGCTTGTTTCTGGG